TATGGAATCCGTGTTTCATGATAGTAGCGACAGTAAGTATATTTCCCGTAGGCTCATTCACGTCAATATAGATCAATAATAACTGCTGTAAAGCCACCAAACTGGCCTGGCCAGTCTCAACAAATTAAATTCTTTAGAAAAACGCGATACCTTTTCTGAGGTATTATCGGTTGGCGGGGTTTGGTGTTGGGTACTGGCGAACTCTCAGTACAACCCTGAAGGGCATGAGGCAAAAGAGAGACAGTGACATATTAGGGGCAGTATATGGTATAAAAACGGAGAATTTAGGGTGAAAGTACGTGGTCAAGGAAAACCCCTATTTACGTAGACCAGGAGCATATATGTATGTGCTATAAGAAAAAACAACTGGTGGATCTATATCTCAAAGCAAACTAGCTTGTAGCGATGACATTTTCCGTCAAATTACCCTGGACACTGGCTTTCCTAATACACTTATGAAATCTTTTGCTAAAAATATTATCTTAATTTATTGTTTTCTTGGGGAAAATGCAGGACTTTGTAAAATTGAATGAAAGTTCAATTCAATAAATGTGGTAAACTTAATTAAAATGTAAAAAACGATGAACTATTCTCAACCAAACCCGCTAACTAGCAACGTATTACACAAGCACAGAAATGCATAAGCCTATTTGTAAGAGCGGGATTTGCTTATTAAAAGAACCTAGACAACGTTATTATTTAAAGATGAGGGAAAATGCACAAACCTCTTTAATTTTTCCGTGGTGGCAAAAAACGGCCTACTGTGTATTACTAGGAGACTAACGGCAATTTAGAACTGGATGCTGGAATTCGTAGATATCTGGAATGCGTAGATATCTGGAATACAAATTCTGTCAGCACGCAGCTCCCATCAACTAAACGTGAATGTCTGCTTTTGGTCTGAAGTTCAAATACTTAACTCACCTGCAGAGCATAAAAATTCCAGGGTTCACCTGTACAATCAGCGGTCCGTGCGACTCTTTTGGTAGATATGGTAGTGTAATAGGCCCTGCCCATCGTCATTGGGTGCCATGAAGGAGACAGATACTTCAGAATGTGAAGGACCTTATAGAGTTCTTTTATCCGCCGAGCCTAA